ATGATCTTAAAGGTCTCTTCCAGTTGGTGCAATGCTGTGTGATTCTGTGCATGTTCTATTATGACTGCTGTTTATTTTGTCATTAACTTGGAGTTTTTCAACAGGAATAGGTTGGCGTGCATTGGTCCACCCGAAAACCCATCCGGTGTCTGAGTATGAGTTTGAAGTAATCATTGGAGGGGATGGCAGGAGGAACACCTTAGAAGGTAATGCTGTGTCTGTAATTTGCTTTCCAATAAAACTTATTCTTACATTAGTTAGAACAAAAATGGCCTTTAACGTCCTAATCAAAATCTGGACAGACATTTGGCCAGTGAAAGGGAGATTAAAAGTCCAGGTAAAATCTATTTGTATCGAAGACATGTGGGCTGTCTTTTTCCTCTTCTGTCCACTGGGTATTTTGACCTGGATAATTTTTCCTACATGTTTTTTCTAGTTGAGTAGTGTTGTAGCTCTTACTTCTGGGAGTAGAAATTGAAGTGTTGAATATTATTCTGTGTAGTAGAGAATTCTATCTTGATATTCCCTTTTGATGCCAGTTGCAATGTTTGGAAAAGAGATAAGAAAGAGAGGAGAGCTTTTTCCCTAAACAAGAGCTTTTAATTTTCTGATGCAGCACTTGTTGCTTTCTCTCTGGAGGAGTGTGTAATTAATCAGATCCATTCTCTTTATTTTGTGAGGGCACCTGTCTGTGGGCTTGCTGAGCCTTCTCTGAAGCTATACTCTATTTTTCAGTGTTCCTATTTTATCCTTCCCGTAGGCTTTCGCCGGAAAGAGTTCCGTGGTAAACTAGCAATTGCTATCACAGCAAACTTCATCAATCGCAACACCACAGCTGAAGCCAAAGTAGAAGAGATCAGCGGTGTGGCCTTCATATTCAACCAGAAGTTCTTCCAGGATCTACGAGAAGCCACAGGTTTGCCAGCAATTGCCACATTTCCAGTGAAAACTCTTTGTCTTTATTATGACAACTTTGTAACTCAGATGTCATTTTTAATCGATCAATGAACATCTTGTGCAAGGAAGTCTGTTGTCGCTGTCTCTCTTTGAGATCTGACTTCCCCAGTTTTACAGTTGTACAAAGCAGATGTGTATCAGTCAGATGGTTTTTGACATTTTGGTTCAGAAAGTGTAGAACTTATTTCCCTGAAGGCTTTCAGGAAATCTGAGCCTGAAATAGAAAAAGTCTGAGCCCTGAGTTCAGTTTCCTGCACTCCACATCTGAATGCAAACCTGAGAGTGATGATGAATATATTTTTTAAAAGAGGTGAAATGTATGCACCTCTGTGCAGGTAAAAGGTACTGTCTGTGGTTTTGTTGAAGATTTCATATTTTAAAGTCATCACAAGCATGGGAGAAAGCTGCTTGGTTGTTCTTTCTCTAAGGCTTTCTAACCACCTAGTTTCAGTTTACTTTCTTCTGATAGAGCTCTTGTGTTACACCTGACATGTAACCGTGTCTTTTGTTCTGTCACAAGGTATTGACTTGGAGAACATTGTCTACTACAAAGATGATACACACTACTTTGTCATGACTGCCAAAAAACAGAGCTTGCTGGAAAAAGGAGTGATACGACATGTGGGTATTAACTTTTCCTATATTCTCTATAAACTAAGATTTAATTTAGTTTAACTTTTCCTGTACTCTCTATAAACTAAGATTTTGGTACACTTTGCTTTCAGGATAATGAAAGAAGGGGAACACTGTCTCCTTTCACCATGTAATCTTTTTATGCTGGTGTATTTTAGACCACAAATATATGTGGTTAGTGCCCTTCTGAGGTATTTTGGGCCATCAGAAGTGTGTCACAAGATCTATCCTCTCCAAATTTGTATTCCTTTGTAGATTTGGGGGTTTCTTTCATGTTAAGATAAAACATGCTTAAAGAACCTTGGATGGCTTAGTTGAGCTTGCCTAATTTTATGGGAGTGAGAGAGCAGGGAGTGAAGGAGGTATTGGAAATATATCTAGTTCTGTCAGAAGCCGATTTCAAAGTAGTTTGGCCATAAATTAATAAATAAGGATTGAGGTCTTGTGCCTTTTGTCTGAAGTGTGTGAACAGAAATGCTCACAAGTTTCTTAGCCCTTTCACAGTCAGAAATGCTAGTAGGACTGATTACCGTTTGCAATAAAAGATTTTCTCTTGGAAGCATAAACAGGTAGGAATGAAAGAAATTAGAGTGCAAACCTGTGTCAGTGGATTTGTAGGAGTTTTAATGCCAACTGTTGTATATACCAGTCTTAAAATAAACTCGTGGGTTTGTCTATTTCACTTTTAATTTTCTCTTTTTTGGCAGGATTATGCTGATACAGAGTTATTACTCTCACGGGAGAACGTGGACCAGGAGGCTCTGCTAAACTATGCCAGAGAAGCAGCTGACTTCTCCACTAATCAGCAGCTGCCATCACTGGACTTTGCCATCAATCACTATGGTCAACCAGATGTGGCCATGTTTGACTTCACGTGCATGTACGCATCGGAGAACGCAGCCCTGGTGCGAGAGCAGAACGGCCACCAGTTACTTGTGGCACTGGTTGGGGACAGTCTCTTAGAGGTTTGTGTTTTAAACTTATTGTGTGTAAACAGTGAATCGAAGCATGAGCAAAGCCATTGCACCTATCACTGAAATATGCAGCTGCCAGTTAGGATAGTTACTAAAAGGAAAGCTGCTGTTTATCATATAATAAAGTGGGAGGTTTGAAGGAAGGCTGGGAGCACTGGGAAAACAGAGGATTTAGGATGGCAATGATCTTGCTTAAGAAAATACGTGTGTTATGTCTGTTCCATCTGCTTGTTATTGGGACAGTTGGACTCTCTACAGAACCTACTGTAGGCCTGTTAATAATTAACATTTTGTAGTTGGTTCAAAAGTACAGTCTTGAGGAGAAGCAGTTAAGGCACTCCAGGCAGTGAATTGTTGTTGGAAATAGAGGAACATTGGCTTTGGGGGATCTCACAGAGAGTTCAGCATGCATCTGGCTTCCTCTAGCCCAGTGAGAGTGGATGTTTAAGCTAATTACTGAGCTATAAATTCCCAGCAGATTACTATCCGAATATATTCTTGATATTTGTTTAAAATTTTCCCTAACTGATGCTTTTCCTTCCTCTGTTTTTTTTGTGAACTCTAACATTAGCCATTTTGGCCGATGGGAACTGGAATAGCCAGGGGATTTTTGGCTGCGATGGACTCTGCTTGGATGGTACGAAGTTGGTCACTCGGAGCTAGTCCTTTGGAAGTTCTTGCAGAGAGGTAATGGAGAAAATGAACACACTTTCAGTTCTAATCTATTCCTCCAACATCTCATTATTCATTCCAGTTTGTTCTAGTACAAATATATAGGCAGAATGGGAGATAGAGCTTCTCACTGTTTTTAAAGGATGCTTGTGGGTATAATTCAAGCAAAGAAAAAAATTTCATAAGGAACTGATAAACTGAAGTATATTTATAGAGGAATAAGAAATGTTGCAGCTGTTCTTGGTCCTAGTTCTAAAAGCAGATTAGATGAGGAGTCTTTTTTTGGTGCTTACTGATATTGCATGAAGAAAGTGAGCCTGACTTACTGTCACCAGCCTTGCAATAGCAAAGCAGATGAAGAGGTAGGTGCCTTTAAAGCACCAGAGACAAAAATTCTTGCCATCTCCTATTATCTTGTAAAAATATCTTTTATGATTTTCTAAGGAAGCTAAGACTTGCTTTTATTTCATATTCTCCTATATTGGTCACATTGTTTCCTATAAACCAAACAATTTGTGTTTCTTTGGGGTATCAAGTTCTTGATGTTTTTATCATTGTTTGGTTGAGTGTTGTTTTGGTGACTCAAGGTGGTGTCTTAGAGATCAGAACTTGGGTAATTAAAAGATGGCATATAACCAAGGTCTAATAGAACCTATTTTAAACTTAGGCAACTGGAGCTTCTGACCATCAGGAACTGTAGTATGATTTTAAAAACTGTATCAATGGCACAATGGATATTTAATGTTTCATTTGTTTGCATTTTTAAAAATGGTGAAGATAATAATGTTGCAGTTGGGACCAGTCTTCCATTACCTTTCCATTAGACATTGCAGATAGCAGTAAGGTCTTCTCTGAGCCTTCTCTTCTGCATGCTGAACAACACCAGTTCCCTTGGCCTCTCCTCACAGGCCAAGTGCTCCAGTCCCCTTGGTGACCTTCTGCCTCAGTCACTCCAGTTTCTGTCTGTCTTGTACTGGGGAACCCTTTTAGTTATGCTTAATATATTGTTTTCTTCCCTCCTTTTGATTTCTGGAGTTATATTAAATTGCAGATTTTAATATACTTATTAGTTATTCCGTGTCTGAAGTGGTTAAATTCCTGGTTTGAATGTTTATCTCTCCAGGTTTCACTTAGCAGTATTAGTAGTGATACATCTCTTTAAAACAAACTAAACAACAACAAAACCAAACAAAAACCCCCAAACCCACAAAACTTAAACAAATAAACCAAAACAAAACCAAAAACTTATTTAAAATTTTATTTTCCCAAGGGAAAGCATTTACAGGCTGCTGCCTCAGACCACCCCTGAGAATGTGAGTAAAAACTTCAGCCACTACAGCATCGATCCCGCCACCCGGTATCCCAACATCAACGTCAACTTCTTGCGGCCACAGCAGGTAACCGGGCAAACGGTGCTTCTGAATGTTTGCAGTCTGCATTGTCTTTCCTTAGGTGAAGCTGTGCTAATGTTTTGGGAACAGATAGTGACCTGATGTGTCAGCATAGTGTGGAAACAGTGAGAAAAGATCCATCAGTCAAGAGCAGACCTCTGTACTTTAACAAATTCCTGTTTAGGAATTGGTGATTTTGCCAGTTTTCACCTTGCTGTACTGATACATGAAATCTTTACACGTGTGTGTGTGTGTGTGTGTGTGTGTGCATGCACGTGTGTACATTATCTTTGAAATAATTTAGTATAGCAGTCTGTCATTGCAGTTTGGTATCCACTGAGCAGCAGCAGTCAGCTAGACTGTTCAGCACTGACTATCTGTTCTTTTTTGTTCTTGGACTAGAGATTTCTGCTACATAAGTGTACTTGTCTTCCTTTTTCTGCCTTGGGAAGGCTCCTTCTTCTCCTGTTTTTTCTGTATGGATCTTAAGTGCATGTCATGTAGGTAGTTTTTAATTTTTTTTCTGTCATTTTAGGTACACCACTTGTATAACACGGGAGACTTGAAAGACATTCACGTGGAAATAGAGAACTTTGTGAACTCCAGGACACCAAAGCTGACTCGGAATGGTAGGCTTGACTACTGCTCCATTCCTTTTGGTATTCTGGAGCTGGATCAGTGCAGGACATAGAGCAGCAAGGCTCTGAAGTATTACTCAACCAGTCTCTTTTGGTTTAGAAAAAGCATCCAGCAATTGTTTCGTCAATAGTCTGATTTTCCAATTTTTAAAGTTTCAATTAATGTGTAAATATATATTTTTTTGCCTGATTTTCTTTGCTTTATAATGCTGTTATATTTCTAAGCATATTTGCTTATGCAAGCATTTTTTCACCTCCTTTATCCTATAACAGTGTCCTTCGAGCGCAGAAGCCTAGCCTGAGTTCACTCTAACAGTAAACTCAGGATTCTTACAAACATAACAGAAGGTATCTGCCATGCAGGCTTTCATGTCCATGCTGTCCTTTACTTAATCTCACCTCTTAGCTTAACTAAATGAAACCTCACTTGGCTTCCATTATTCTAAAAGTTAAGATGCCTTGTGATAAGCATTTCAGTATCTGTCTCCTTATCTCGTATCCCGAGGGGTATATTGAACTTTTCATTTTGCACACCTTGCCTTTGGACATCCAGATAGCGTTTGGGAACTCTCAAGAGTGGCATTTTGCTGCTGAGCCTCCCTTTCACTGCTGAATAGCTACATAGTCTTTTGATTTGTTCTTTGGCCTGCAACCACGTCCCTTTAGGCTGTAATCTTGTCAGATCTAGCAGTAAGGCAAGGTCAAAACAGGTCAGTGCTTTTAAAGGGAAGCTTTCAAGAGAAAAGAAAAAGTTGCAGAAGTACATTTCTACTTCTTGCACTAGAAATAGTGTATCTGGGCTTTAGAGAGCATTTATGATACTCTAGATCCTTTTGATCGTATTTAAAACAAGCCTTTGTGGCTGTTTTAGAATTCCTGAGGCTCTTACAAGGGCTAGGGTGAAAAACCTGTCAAGTTATAACTTAGATAAATTACTTATTAGCAAATTAAAAATCCTTTCTTGAATCTAAAATAGATAAGATAATATTTTAAAAAACCCCTCCAACTAATTCTGTCCTGTATTGCTCATTGTAGAAGGAGTTTGTTGTTTACATGAAGGTGTTATTTGTTGATTCATGGTTTTTATGTTGATTTTAGAATTAATGAAAAAGGTAGTTTACATTTCTACCTAAAAATATGATTTCTTACAGAGTCTGTAGCTCGCTCCAGTAAATTGCTCAGTTGGTGCCAGCGGCAGACTGAGGGGTACGCTGGTG